GTGCCAATTTTCATTGAACCAAACATTAAAATAAAGCCAAACATCCCGCACCACAGGGCGGTGCTGCTGCAGGGCGATGGGACGACACGGTCAGTAGACCGGCCAGGGACCGCCGAGTCTAGCGTTGGCTGGAGGGGGGTGGAGAAGAGGTCGCCACCAAGCCCAAAGCTGCCCAATGACGTCATTTTTTGGCGACGTCATCAGCAGTCTCCGCTGCAGGGGCGCACTGCACATGTGTCACCGTCCGGCGGAGCAGCCCCGCCGCGGACCGAGCGGAGCAGCACCTTGGCGCAGAGGAAGCGTGTGGGGCTCATAACCCTAAGGTCCCTGGATCGAAACCAGGAGGTGCTAGCCTTTTTGCGCGGGGCGGGGGGCGGACGAAGGACTGCTCTGTATCACAGGAAATCCAAAAAAAAAACTACTCGCCACGCGATTGGCCGATCTGACCCCTCCAGCAGCGGACAAGAGGCGGGCCGATGGCGCGGACCTCTGCTCCCTTGCAAGACCAAGGGGCGGTTTCTTTTTTGCCATCTACAATGAGCGCGAGCGTTGGGCGCAGCGAGATTCTGGGGCTGTACCGGCAGTCGCTGCGGGCGGCGCGGCAGTTTGAGACGTACAACTTTCGCAAGTACTTTTACCGGCGGGCGCGCGACCGGTTTCGGGCGATAGGGGCGCAGCAGGACGCGGCGGCGCGCGCGGCGGCGGTGGCGGAGGCGCAGGCGGAGCTGGCGGTGGTGCGGCGGCAGGGGGCGCTGAACCGGATGTTTGCACACAACCGCACGGTCATCGAGGCCGATCCCGGGTACGCGGCGGGCGCGCGGCGGTTTGCAGAGTAGATCGGCGGGCGGCCGCAAAGGGGAGCGCCAGCCAGAGATCCCGGCGGGCGGCAATCCCTCGGCGAGAGCAAGGACATTGTTGTGTTGTTTGTAGCGGAAGAGATATGAGGTGGTGGCTATCTACAGCGGGCGTGGTGTGTTGTGTTGAATGTTGGGTGTGGGTGGGCTGGGGGAGCGGCGGCTACGCAACGTGGGCGGGGCGCGGCTCGGGGGCGGCGGGGCCCCGGCGCAGGTTGTGCGGCGGCGGCTGCAGCGGGTGGCCAATGTGCAGGGCGGGGCGGTCCTTGCGGTCGTCGGCGTCGGGCCTGTCGCCGGGGGCGAACGGGGCGTAGGCGGCGGTGGCGTGCGTGTAGTCATTTGCGCTACTGCCGGGGGGCGCGTGGTCCTGGGGCCTTGTGTCGTTGTTGGCGGTGCCGCTCGAGTCGGAGCGGCCGCGCTCGGCGCGCAGGCGGGCGCGGCGGCGGGCGTTGCGCTCGCGCTCCTTCTGCAGGTACTCGGCGTAGAGCTTTGGGTCCTTCTTGAGCTCGGCGCGCTTCTGGCGCTTCTTTTCGGCGTCGGCGATGCGCGACGCCGAGCGCTTGGAGTGGCTGTGCAGCGCGTCCGGGTCGGCGTCGAGGTCGAGGTCGGCGTCGGGGTCGGGCGAGCCGTCCTTTGACGAGCGGGCCTGGTCCGTCTCGGGCGAGTTGGAGGCCGAGCGCTGGCTGGGCAGCGACGGCTCGGCGGACGACCGGGGCAGCATGTGCTCGTGGGGGGGCTGCGGCCGGGCGGACATGCCCAGGCTCCACCGCAGCGCCTCAATCGCCTCGAGGACGTGCACGCGCGTGCCAAAGGCGGCGATGCCGAGCTCGTCGGCGAGCACGGTGTTTGTGACGTAGTTGACCAGGACGTGGCCGTCGACGGCGTGCTCGCGCAGCACGGGGGCCACGGCGGCAATGTGCGGCTGGCGCAGGGCCCAGCGGCACACGTCGTCGACGGACCACTGGAGCGGGCGCTCGGGCAGCGGCAGGGCGGCGGCGGCGGGGCCCGGCGGCGGCGGCGGCGTCAGGGCCGGCGGCGGGGGCGACGGCAGGGCCGGCGCAGGGCCCGGAGCCAGAGCCGGCGCAGGGTCCGGGGCCAGGGCCGGAGCGTGGCGGGGCTGGCTGGCGGGCGGCGGGGGCGAGGCCATGGGGGCGGGGGTCTTGGCTCCGGACGGGCAGGGGAGGCGGGCGGGAGGAGAGCGGTGTGGGAGCCGGGCGGCGGCGGCGGCGGGCGGGCGGCGCAGGCCTTAAGAGCAAAAGGCCGCAGCGCCTCCGCAGGCCGGGCGGCGCCTGCGGGGGCGCGGACACCCGCGAGCCGGGCCGGGCGGGTGGCATGGGCATCATGGCGCCGCGGCCGGGCGGCGCGGCGGCGGCGGCGGCGGCGGCGGCGGCGGCCGGCATGGCGGAGGGCGCATCCTCTGTGCGATCGACGCGCCTCGCAATTCGGGCGCAGCGCCGCGCCCGCCCACTCCGCGGGCCACGCCGGCTGACCGCCGGCGCCGCGCCGCCGCCGTGCCCGCGCCGCAGCTGATCGGTGCGAGCGATTGCTCCCGAAACCCCCGCGTGTGCGGCCGCGCGGGGGAGGATCGGCGCCCGCGCCGCCCAAACGCCGCCGCCGCACGTGCCGCCCATACGGCGCGCCGGCTGCGGCGGGCTGCCAAAGAGGCCGCCGCCAAGCCGAATAAACGCGCCCTCTGCGCACGCCAAGTCTCCACCGCCCATGTCCCCGCCGAGCGCCGCCCGCCCGGCAGCGGCCGCAGATGCAGACGCGGCGCTGCGCGCTACTGCGCTGGTGCTCGCCCCGCTGCTTGCGGCTATTGCGCTGGGCTTTGCCGCCAGCGGCGGCCCGCCCGGCCTGGCCGCCACCGCCGACCTGGCTGCCGCCGACCTGGCTGCCGTCCCGCCGTGGGCGTCCAAGCGCAGCCCGCTCAACGTGTACGCCGCAAAGGTCGCCTGGGGCTGGACGACCGCGCTGTTCGCCGCCGCGCTGGCCCTGTGCGCCCCGGCGCGCGCGCCCCGCCGCTCGGCCGCCGCGCTGCTGCGGTACGCGCTGGCGACCGCGTACTGGGTCGCCATGGCCCGCTGGTTCTTTGGCCCGCCGCTCTTTGACCGCGTCTTTGCGCGCACCGGCGGCGCCTGCCTGGCGCCCGCCGGCCCGGGCGCGCTGCGCCTGCCCGCGGCCTCGCTGCAGGCGTGCCGCCAGGCGGGCGGCACCTGGGCCGGCGGCCACGACGTCTCGGGCCACTGCTTCCTGCTGATCCACTCGGCGCTGTTTTTGGCCGAGGAGGCGCTGGCGCCGCTGCTGGCGCTGCTGCTGCTGCCGGCCGCTGCGCCTCGGCTGCGCCTCGCCGCGCTGCGCCGCGCCGCTGCGGGCGTCACCGCCGCGCTGCTGGGCGTGTGGGTCTTTATGCTCTACGTCACCGCCCGCTACTTTCACGGCGGCCGCGAGCTCGCCTCGGGCACGGCCGTGGCCGCCGGCTACTGGGCCGTGCTGCACGTGCTTCGCCGGTCCAGGGCGCCCTCGTAAGACAGGGCGCCTCTCGCAAGGCTCACGTCGCTCTTCCGGCACATCCAAACTGTCAAATAAAAAAGCCCACCCCCTGTCTCCTAGCGCCGCGCAAAGACCGTCGCCGTGCGCGCGGGCAGGTACGCCTGGATGTAGTTGGGCCGCCCGTTCCACTCCATGGGCGTCGAGTGGTGCTCGACTGCGCTGTCGACGCGGCCCTGGCCCAGGAACTGCGGGTCGTCGGTGCACAGCGCGACCGTGTACGTGCCGGGCCACGCCACGCCGACGCGGTAGTCGCTGTACGAGTTGCACGGGTGGAAGTTGAAGATCCACAGCAGCCCGCCGCGCTCAAACGCCAGGACCTTGTCGCTGTTGTGCTTGAGCGTCACCCACTGGTCGTGCGCCGCGAGCCAGTGGTGCTGCTGCTCCAGCCGCACCATGGCCCGGTCGAAGCGGTGCAGGTACTTGTACCGCAGCAGCTCGTCGTGGATCAGGTTGAACTGCCGCCGCGCATAGTGGAAGCTGGACCCGTTGCCCTCGCGCGGAAAGTCCAGCCACTCGGGGTGCCCAAACTCGTTGCCCTCGAACGTCAGATACCCCTCGCCCCCGAGCCCGCACGTAACCAGGCGGATCATCTTGTGCAGCGCCATCCCGCGCTCAATGACCGGCGTCAGCGGTGTCATGTCGCTCATGTTTGTGTACATCTCCTTGTCCATCAGCCAGAACGCCAGCGTCTTGTCGCCCACCAGCGCCTGGTCGTGCGACTCGCAGTACGTGATCGCCCGCTCCTGGTACCGCCGGTTCGTCAGCTGGTGCGCAATGTGGTCCATGTCCCAGTCCTCGTCCCGCGTCTCCTTGAGCAGCTTGATCCACATGTCCGGCACCGACATGGTCAGTCGGTAGTCGAACCCGACCCCGCCCTCCTGCACCGGCCGCCCCAGCGCCGGCATCCCCGACACGTCCTCGGCAATCGTCACAAACCCGGGGTACAGCGAGTGGCACATGTAGTTGGCCAGCATCAGGTACACGACCGCCTCCTCGTCCGTGTTGCCCGTAAAGTACTCGTCGTAGTGCCCGCTGAACCCGTACGCAATGCCGTGGTGCTTGTACATCATCGACGTCACCCCGTCGAACCGGAACCCGTCAAACCCAAACTCCTCGATCCAGTACCGCAGGTTCGACAGCAGGAACCGCGTGACCTCGTGGTGCCCGTAGTTGAACAGCCGGCTGTTCCACAGCTCGTGCCGCCCGCGCCCGCCCTCGTGGAAGTAGCAGTGGTCAGTCCCGTCAAACTGGTTCAGCCCGTCCTCCACGTTGTTGCACGCGTGCGAGTGCACGACGTCCAGGAACACGGCGATCCCCATCCCGTGCGCCGTGTCCACTAGCTCGCGCAGGTCGTCGGGCTCGCCGTACCGCGACGACGGGGCAAAGAACGACGTGACCTGGTACCCAAACGACGCATAGTACGCGTGCTCCATCACCGCCATCAGCTGGACCGCGTTGTACCCCAGGTCCTTGATCATCGGCAGCACGTTCTGCGTAAACTCCTTGTACGTGGCGACCCGGCCCTCGGGCGACGAGATGCCCACGTGCGCCTCGTAGATGCACAGGTCTGCGGCCGGGACCACCCGCCCGTGCTTTGGCACGTAGCGCCGGGCCGGGTTGTAAAACACCGACTCGTACACCGCGCTCTTGGACAGGTCCTGCGTGACGTACCGGCTCCACGCGGGCAGCCGGTACACGCGCTCGCCGCTGGCCGTGACAAACGAGACCTTGATGTGGCTGCCGTGCGGGATCGCCACCTCGCCCGAGGCCGTGTTGGGTACCAGCGTCTCCCACACGCCGTACTCGTCGCGCTCCATCGGGTTTGCCGCCGCGTCCCACCCGTTAAAGTCGCCCACCAGGCTGGCTGCCTGCGCGCCCGGCGCCCACTCGCGGTACCGCACGCCGCCGGGCGTGACGTGCAGCCCAAACGTCTCGTATCCGCGCGAG